CAGCAGATTTTTTTTAAAAGTCATCTAATACCGGGTTAAGAAACGATGTAAATTTTTTTTGAAAAATACAGTGACTAAATTAAATACTACCCATATCCGGTAGATTAATTTCTTAGTCGATTACGTTAATAAATATTTAAAAAAAGGTAACGCAAGTTTTTTTTAATTTTCATTATTAGTTGTGCTCTGTAGTGCTAACCTATCGTTGACCCTGTATTTTTACAATCAATCCGTGCCTGTAGGCAAAGTGTCAATTCATCAAACTGTAGGTGAATCAGGTGGAAGTCTCAACTGATATACAAATGACAAGCGAGTGATACGAACATACCTGTGATATTAAAAAAAAAAGAAGAGCTAACTGTTAAAACGGGCAAAAAAGTTTTTCTTATGTGAATCGCGTCAAATTACCGGACCGGTATAAATGCTGCTAGCGCTGTGTTCTTTTATATTTATATCTGTATTAAAGGTTGTACAAAGCTTCACCTGGATCTATAGTCAAACTGAAACTGCGAAGCTTTATCATGTAAAATCATCTATTTTGATATTCAAGGGATAATTATTTTATTATTAGTATTTTATGTTTATTTATGTCGTTTTAATTTGGTCATTTTAGCATAAATTTATTTTAAAATATATTTACGTTAGTTTAGTTCGTTAAAAAATTATTTCAAATTTTATTCGGTGAAGGGTATAAACGTTATTAGTTTCAATGTTTAGCTTAGCTGTGGTCAGTCAGCTTTTGCTACTCAATGGGCTGCTTTGCTGAAAAGGCATTTGTAGCGCGTAAAACGGAAGCCAGATTAGTTACACGATAAAATATCAGTTGACACTTATCTGTTATTTAGGTATTGCGACCACGATTACTTCGATCTCTTGCGAAATCTGTGTAGATTGCGGCTTAAGCTGAACATGAAGTGGCTTATGTTGCTTTTATACCATCATAAGCACACAAAAGCTTTTTATTTTTTTGCCCAATGTCGTTATTTGTTGTCGTTGCTGCAACACCGTTGTCACATTCCTGCAACTTTTTTGCTGTAAAACACCGCAGAATTGTTTGTATTTATCACTTTGTTGGTTGGTCGGTTGGTCAGCTTCTGATAGTCAAGTTTCAGCGTTTATTTGCATAAGAGTCTCATATGAAAATGCAAACTATTTTCTCACATATACATACATACTTATACATGTACCTGCATATACATACATATACGGAAAGAGTTGTGTAGCATATTTCGTAGAATTATGGAAATTGCAAAGTATTTACCTGTTGATTGTGCTTTTCGAATTTGAAAATTTTGGTAAATTACTGCAAAATTGTGTTTACTAATTTCATAAATAAACCGCTATGTCTACATTAAGAAGAATTTGTTTAAATGACACGAATAGTTTTCTGTGCTGTTTGTGGTAACTATTTTTTTTGAGAATGTCGTTTAAATGGTGGATGTACCAAATACCCCCGTTTCATGTGGGAAAGCGGGGCCAAGACTGAACACTGGTCTAAAAAAGTTTGGTCTTTGAGAGTAATTTAGCAGATGATTGTCCCTCTAGTAGCCAGAGATCGCATTATACAAAGTTAGGTCTATTAAAAAGTTTGTAAGCTTTCAAAATAAGGATGGGAAAGGTTTTAAATATATCCGTAAAATATTTTCGAAATTGAGCACAAAAAAAATTTAAGCTGGTATTTTTGACGGTCCTCAAATCAGGGAACTAATACAGGACCAACATTTTACTGATAATATGTCATTGACGTCATAATGTAAACAATAGTAGTTGACTTGGCTAAATATAGGCAAAGGTTGTGGACTTGGCTAAATGTAAACAAAAAGGTCATTGATCTACTTAAATGTATACTTTTTATGGAAAAAATACAAAGTGATCGGTCAAAATCGAGTGCTTGTATGTTTGAAAAAGAAACGCAAATATAATACCACCAAAATGATATGAGTATATGTAGTAACTGTAAGAAGATTAAAGGAAAGAAACGGGCTGACAGGGCGTATGAGTGATTTTTTAATAGAGATACCTGTTCATTCACAACTCTCACAGTACATACATACATATGTACATAAATATAATAATATATTATTAAACATGTGAAAAATTATATATGTTAAATTAACATATACCAGCTCAGTTGACTGTTAAAAGCATAGTAAATGTAATGATCATCTCCCGCTTTTAATTTGCAAAATTCTCTACATAAAACTAAATGCATCTCACAACAATAACAATAGAGTACAAGTTTCAACAGTACTTGAAAACCAAGGTCATATAAAAAAATTATTCCTTTACCAGAACCGAGTGTGACGGGTGACACATGTTAAGGTTTAGCTCTCAATCTGTTCTCACTGTTTCACAGCGAATACCAGTTCTTTCGAACTTGCCAAATACAAGTACATACAAGTATATCGCAGTATTCATAATGATTATTGAAGATTTCGAATTGTTTATTTTGTTAAGATGGCTGGATTTTAGAAATATGTATATCCTGTATGTCGCTTCAATGTCTGTAGAATAAGAATAAATTAATTTAATTTTAATAATTTTGATGTGAATGTCTGACACAGATTTTTGTTTATATTTTACGTGCTTCCTGGAAGTATACTACAATAAAAAAATACTGCAGAAATTCTTCAAAACTGTTATATGAGTGGAAGACTTCCGCAAATTTCAACTTGTGATTGATTTATACGTATTTGAACTTATCTACGTAATCTGAGTGATATCTAAATAACATCAAGGCAAAGTCACGATTATGTGGAGATTAGTATTATCTTTATGGGCTTACAAACGCGTATTATTATATGAATAACAACCATTTGTAAGTTGTGTTTGAAGATCAACTACTCATTTCATGGGTAAGTGTAATAAAAAATATGGTGCATGGATGACAGACGAATTATTTTCTGATTGGGTTCGCAAAATATAACTATCTATAGAAAGGCTGTTTAACCAATATTGTACTATTGTACATACATATATCATCCGTATGAATAAATATGTATTTAATGGTTACAGAATTTCAACATGTGATTGAAAAAAATCCTTATGTTATATAATTTAATAAAAATGAGACTAAATATTATATATTATTATATTATATTATATATTTTTTAATACATATTTTTTGTAATTTAGGTTAAATTTTTTTTTCTTAAATTATTAAAATATGCAGATGAATTATCATTTGTATTTTTAAGATTTGAGTGTTGGCGTTCTTATTCGTTGTCAGCGCACAGCGAAGCACGCGCACGCCAGAGCTACCTACATGCGATGCTTCACTTCACACTTCACACGCTCAGCAGCATACAGCGACAGCTTGGCATTTAATTGACTTAGGCGCACCTGAAGTGCTCGCTTACTTACTGCTTAGACTTGTTCGAGTACCAACTGACTGAGCCGTTCACCCGTGTAACCTCACTTCCTCTTGAACTTCCATACATATAGTACATACATATATATGTTTAAAGCCTGCGCCTCATTGTTGTGAGTAGTTTTCGGCCAATTTTGCGGGCCACACCGTACGTCATTTGGCGGTAATAAAACATAGTAGCCGGCTCATTTGGACGTTGGCAAAAAACACACGAATACGCGCGTCTCGGCGTACCGCCTGCGCCAACTCACGCTCCTTTTGCCATATGGAGATTTATGGTGTGCATATTGGAAACACTTTGTAGCCGTTTACTTTATTTAGCCAATTCATTTTATTTTGTTTATTTTTTTTCTACAGCTTTTAGTTATTTCAACATACATTAAGTTATTGCGAATGTGTGTTCTTGTTGTTTCCGATTGCGCTGCCGTTTTCGCTAGCGGTGGCCACTCAATTATTTTAGCACGAAAATTTGTTAAAATTCGACATGTGTATGTATGTAGACATGTAGATAGGGGCAACTAAATTTTCGTTTTGTTTTTGCTCTAAAATTTAGCTTTGCTTGTGTGTTTGCTGTTGTTATTCTGCGCACATAATTCAAAGTCAGCGCCAGGGCTGCTGTTGTTGCTGTCATTTCGGGCGCTCTGATTTATTTTCCCTGCCTGGAATCGGCAAATATCCACTCCATGAGCAGTGTGCCCCCGTCTGCATTCCTCACCTCGCGTCATCTTACTGTATCTACAATACTTGTACATATGGACTTATGGGTGGAAATCATTTAAGTTTCATGGCATGATTAATTCTAATAAAGTTGCCAACGCTGTCGCCGGCACTGTGGCCAAATTTGCGTTGTTTTGTGGTTGCCACTTTGTATGTACAAATTTACCGTCTTTGCATATTCTTGTGTACTACTTGAGTGCAACGATCAAGACACCAGTTGAATGCGAAAGTGTCGTAATTTGACGGATTAATAATGATTTGTGCTTTTTGCGGCAACTCAACGGGCGGCTCCGTATTTTTTCACATTTTTTTTTTATTTGTCTAATTTTTGGTTTTTTTCTTTGGGTTTTAGGGCACTTTAAGCTTAGTGCGCATGGAAGATTTAGTGTTTGCGGCAAATAAATTGGCATTAGAGAAACCTACGACAATGTTTTACAGAAATCAAAAAATAACTTAAAAAAATTGAAAACGACGCCAAGTAAATTATGATTTTCAACTAGTATATTTTGGACTGGTATCAACCCCAAAGCAATAGATAGGCTGATCGCTATGATGTTATGCAATAATAAACTCATACAAGATTCAGATGGGAGTGTTTCGAATATGCAGCCAATGAAAATAATATTGTACCATTATGTATGTAGATACATATAAATATTATATTATATTATATACTCACAAAAACTGCAATCTTAAATAAAAATCTCTTCAAAATGCTTATAAAGACTAGTTAGTTGGATAATAGAATAGATAATAAAATAAGAATTAGAGAAATGTTACTGTTTTTTAGGTTAAGCAAATAATTTCCCCCGGGATATTTATATTTTATTCTAATAAATATAATGATAAATTTCGTTCATTCAGCATATTTGACCAAATGACAATGAGATACTTTATTTTCTTTTATTTACAGCTTTGAATTGTATTTTGAGTGGTTTTTGTGAGAAAAAGAAAACACGGAAATATCTTAGAATTTAAGGCATATCTACATACGTATATACGGATGCAAAGAAGGCAGATGTTCTAGAAAAGCGTAAGTAGTTTTTTATGTAAACATATTAAAAAAAAATATAGATTAGAAATAAATTTCGAAATCGCTCCTAAATACAATTTATAAATATAAACTATAAAAAAGGATGTGTGGTAACGGCAATAAAACAATTCGGCTCGTGCTATTTCAGAATTAATAAAAAAGTACACAATATTTGTGTGCGAAATATTTTCGATTTTGTTCCCCCTTCCAAGGGTATCTAATCAATACTCATGTCACTTCAGGTTATGCATCCGATGACATCACAGCATTCTTTGCCTGAACATTCTTGATTATTATACTTTTGCAACATGTTGCTGCAGAGTATAATAGTTTTGTTCACCTAACGGTTGCTTATATAAACTAAAACTAATCGAGATTGATATGGTGTTATATATATATGGCGAGACGAGTTGAAATCCGGGTGACTGTCTGTCCGCCTCTCTATGCAAGCTGTAACTTGAGTAAAAATTGAGTTAACGTAATGAAACTTGATATACATATGTATTCATTGGCAAAAAAGTGAGAACGAGTTCGTAGATGGGCGTAATCGGACCACTGCCACGCCCACAAAACGACATTTAACGAAAACATATAAAATGCCATAACCAAGCACTAAATTAAGATATAAAACTGTAATTTGGTGAAGGGGTTTGCAGAGACACCTGCGGGCTAAACATTTTTTTTTTAAAGTGGGCGTGTCCCCGCACTATATAAGTTTAAAATACATATCTTCCAAACCATTCAAGCTATATCACCTAAATTCGCTTAGGATGGAATGCCTCAAGAACTTCTGCAGACAGTGTGAAAATGGTTGAAATCAGATTACTTGTATAACCCCGCACTCTCTCCATATAGCGGTTTAGTTAACAACTACTAAAAGCGCGATAAATCAGTCAGAGATGGTATGAAATAGCTTTATAGGAGCCGGTGTTAAATTGTTACAATGGGTGTGGCACCGCCCACATTTAGGGGGAAATCCATGTATCGGAACTTACTCGACCGATTTCAACCATATTCGGTATGTAATATTACCCTGACATTGCTACATTACAGTGATAAACTAGAGTGCAATCAGACAAAAACCACGCCTACTTCCCATATAACACAATTTTTAATTCCATCTGATTCTTTCACTTTCCAGTATACCATACAAATGAAGAACCAATTAATGTATCCAGATAAAACTTAACACAAACAGTGACTTCAAGATATTTGATCTTAAGTCCAAAAATTATCAAAATCGGACCATAACTTTTGAAGAACTCAGACAGCAAATATGTGGACCCCAGTGCGTATGGCTGCCTCTTTGCCGAAAATATCGGTCAATCTGTGAGATATGTTATTGAAATTCGGGGAAAGTGTTTCTTTCATAATATTATTGAGTCAAAAATGAGTTGAATTAGGTCAATACTTCCCTTAGACCCATATACCCATATATATTTATATTAAATTCGAACATCCAGTTGATTTTATATCACATATATCGGCCAATCTGGGAGCTATTTGAAAGAAATTGAGAGAGCGTGTTTTTATAACAACAGTATATCTTTATGCCCAAAATGGATAAAATTGGCTGGAAAGTTGGCTTAGTTCCCATATAACTGATATTCACGATTTTTAAACGTCCGGCTGACTTTACTCTATATATGTATATGCTTATATTAATATATTTATAAAATTGCTTGAAAATAAGTTCTCAAGCATACCTGAGTAATGTGAAAAATTAGTGCAATCAACCCTTCTATTTTTCTGCCGCCAATGATTTTAGTATAATTTTCGCTGACGGGAAGTAAAACATAGTAATAAAACTGAGTGAGGCTATAAACTTCAAAATAAGTTAATATATGACACCAAATTTGATTGTAATCCATTCACGATTTCGTCGAAGAATGAAGTTGCACCCTTTCTTTACATTTTTTAATATCACCAACACCTGAAGATATTTAACCGGCTTTGATCCTTGCAAATTGCAAGAGTATGAAATGTTCGGTTACACTAGAACTTAGCGCTTCCTTACTCTCTTTTCTCTTTTTAGAGAATTCGAAATGCTTCTTAGCTATGAAATGCTAGCGATTTTTCTTCAATCAGAGCCACGATTCATTAATTGAAAGTATTTTCTCTTGCATTTATTATTGCAAATATTTGAGACAATTTAAATTGTTGATGACAGTGCATTAACTTGCAACACTGCCCACGTAGTTACTCGTTCATAAGATTGCAACCGAGTATAATGCATTGCCAACTATTTGCATAATTAATATAGACACTCCAGTTAATGTATGAATTTATATGTATAGAAATGAGAAGTGAAAGGATGAGGCGAAGTGTAAAAATAATAGAAATTCCAAAAGCATTTAAAGTGGCATAAATTAAAAATTCTCACTTGATTAACAACGCAACAGAGGGTAATAACTGCTAAAGACATAGATGAAAGAATTTCTTTTGTTGTAGGTTGTTTTAAAAATATTTTAAGGCCTTAAAGTCTCGTAATGACGTTGACATGTGTGCTGAGTTAAATTGTAATAAAAACCGTCGAGACGTAAATCGTTGATATACCGTTATCTGCAGTATGATGCTCATTGTATTTTCCTTCCATCTACAAGTTCAAAAGCGATTGCTTATGGCGTGACATAACGCACCTTACACACTTCTCTACAAATATACTAAGACTTGCATATACAAACACATGATTTTACAAATAGTAGCATAATGGTTACCAACTGCCCACTGTGACCACTTGCAGTCCATGCGCAATTGAGAAATTTAATGAAGTGTATGCTGTCAGCGTTATTCCTCCTTCTTCGCGCTCTATAAGTGCTAAACGAGTCAGGACAATCGCAGACACGTCCCACGGTTTCCTGTGCATTGTACACCATATTCAAATGGTGTAAGCTTCTTTATTTCAGTTATAAAATATACCAACTAACTTTAGTATAATGCTTGTGGCTTTAGCGATGATATCGATGTTCCGTAAAATGAGACCGCGCCGGAGATTGAGATAAGCATTGCTGCTGGATAATGTTGCATATGACACAAGTAATGATTGCGAATCATTTCCAAAGCAGTATAACTAGCAATGCACAGTAAACATACAATTGTTTTATAGGGTGGTTTAAAAAGGTGTTATCATTTGAAACGGTGGCTAGGAGGAGACTGTTGTAGAACTTTCTTTTGTTTCAACGCAACAGAATTGTATACAAATATAAACCTATAAAATGTCTTAAGAAAATAGAAGAACTCTAAAAGTAATCTTTGATATTCGGCTTGAACACTTACTGCCTGTCAGTCAAGTCTGTCAAGTATAGTCTCTCGATTGAACTTTGAGTCAGCAATACGTCGATTGAATTCGAAATTTTTTGCTTGCTGTGTCAAAAGTGGCTGCTTAAGGCATTATCATCTCCACAGCCTACGCATTATCTGCAGTTATGAAATACAAACAATAAAATAAATAGAAATAAAAGGAAAAGATAAACGAATTAAACAGTAGAGTAATCTTCGAGGGAATTAAAAGTGTGCTTGTATTTATCACACACATAAACAAGCGATTACTACTGCAAACTTCCAACAGCATTGGTTCAGAAGTTTTACGTCAAGCTGTCTTTGACAAGTGATTAAAAGTAGTTTGTTAATCTATTATGTCGATTGTAATCTGTGGAAATACTTTGTATGCAGTTGGCGTTTGCAAAGCGTTTTTATTAGCTGCCAGTTTTTACACCTTAGCAATAATTAAAAATATAGACTTTTTTGCTTGGCTATAATTGACAATTACAGGTGTTATCGCCTATCTAATTTAAAGCGAAGCTGCCATTCTATTTGCTGTCACTTAAAATAAATATGTTTCTTCGTTCACGTAAACTGAGTACGTGCACTGTGTTACAAAGTTTTGAATTTAGCAAGTATTTATTGTTTAGTTTCAAGCCGATCGTGGGAAGCTGTTTATCTCTCTTTGTTATTTTTTGACATTTTGAGCACTCGTTTTTCGGTTATTTACTGGCTTTTATGGAAAGTTAAGTCTATAGCAGTTCGGAAGTACATATTTTTCGACAAGTCGCATTTTCATCTCAGCGGTTACACAATATATTTGTGTGCGCATTTCTTGACAAAATCCTTAGCGAAATGTCATTAGACAAGTATGTTCGAGCTAGTAGAATACATGTTTCAACTCTTAAACGTATAAAAATTTTATGATGAGAATAGAAAAAGTAAAAAAATATACTTTTTACTTTATAAATACATACGTTCAATTTCAGCAAAAATTTACTATTTTATATGGTGCAAGACTTCAATATTTTTGCATAATATACATTTACTCATTTGAGATGCTAAATTCACTAATAAAAGCGGTGCAGTTTGCTGAATTGCAATTTCCGCAACAAAACCTAAGAACATCAGACACTGGCATCAGGCGACGGAAGCTTCGCATATGTTGCCGTTAAAATTTTAGTAAATAAAAACTAATTTGTCAAACTAGTACCAAAATGACAGCTTATTGCCAGCAATAGTTATAATAAAAATGAATCAGACATCTATTGCCATTCATAGCAATATATAGTATCCATAGGCAATATTGCTAGCTATAAACTTATTAAGACAACATACATTGTCGGATCGGAAAAAGTATACAATTGTTCAGACGACATTATATGATCTGATAGCAGAAGTTTGGTATGATTTAGGAACAGTGACATACTTATACCATATTTATATACTAAAAGCATAACCCCAACTATGAACTTCGTTCTTATGCTATAATAGATCAAAGTGTTTCCCTCGATGTGTTAATGACGTGCTAAGTTGAAGGTAATGGGTGTGATAAGTCTATGGAGTGAGTAACTTCTGCAACAATCGGGTAGATAAGTGCAATTAAAAACAAAGACAATGATGATTGCGAAATGAAATATGCAAATTTTGCGAATTTTTGATTTGTGTGTAACCGGAAATCTTGCTAGAACTTGCGTTTTTACCAGCTGATAAATAAGCTATGCAAATTTATGCCACCT